ATGGGGAAATCATAATTTTATTACAAACTTCTTAATCGTCGCTCTCTTTCTTTATTTTCCTTAGTGTACCGTTATCAAATCTAACTTCTGATACTTCAAATCTTAGTTCTCCTCCCTTAGTAGTACTTTTAGCCAATAAAGGCAAAACATTGGTGGTTGTAGCCAACCTTTGGAGTATCTGTCATTTTGGACTTTGGATGATCCTGAAGATCTTGCTCTCTATTCTCCAGGGTTCTTTGTACCCATCAATTCCATACTTGACCAACCAGAATTTTACAGGAAAAGAAGGTTATCTTATATTCCAATCTCTGATTTGGGCAATTTTGGTTTCTTTTGGGAGAGAAAAGGTTTCTGTTTTTGAGGTAACTTATTCGTGGTATCATGCAATTTACTCGATGAAACATTATGCTCCAGTACAAGTTGTCAAAACAATCATTTTAAAATCATGCCAACCGTTGATAGAAGTGAAAGAAAATAATAATGGGAAGTTAGAGTAGCATCAAGAAGGAAACACTCTGCAGTAATTATGCAGTGGTCTAAATTGGCTTTAGCCATTTGAATTACCTGAATCTTGTGTTGTGCTTAGATCTCAATTGTTTAATGGAAGATTTGGTTTCTTACTGGGTGTTACTATGTTCAAATAATTATTTAGGAAAATGGCAGCGCAACAAATACGTTGGTGTGTCTCTTGTGGGAAAGACATTGGCAGTTATGGGGTTCGGAAAGGTTGGTTCAGAAGTTGCTCGGCGTGCAAAAGGACTTGGCATGCACGTCGTTGCACATGACCCCTATGCACCTGCTGACAGGGCCCGTGCTATTGGTGCAGAACTAGTGTCATTTGATGAAGCAATAGCCACTGCAGATTTCATCTCACTCCATATGCCACTTACCCCTACGACATCAAAGGTTTTCAATGATGAGACTTTTGGAAAGATGAAAAAGGGAGCGCGCATCATCAATGTTGCTCGAGGCGGAGTAATTGACGAAGATGCCTTACTAAGAGCCCTTGACAAGGGAACAGTTGCTCAGGTAGCTAATTTCGTGTTATTTACATTGCAGTGCTGCAAGTACTCCATATGCCCAGATTAATGATCTTTTAGTTGTCATCCAGGTTTTATCTTTCATATTGGTCTTCGTACAGTTGGTCTTTTTAGATCAATTTGACCCAAAAAGCTAACTATGTTAAGGTGTCTTGTCTTACTTGATGGCTGCCAGATTCAGATTGGCCATTTGGTCTTAAATCTCTCGTACTATAACTTTTAAAGATTTCTTTTTTGTTAATAATTTTACCTTCATGATCTTTATAATCTGTCAATTTTACCTTCGTGATCTTTAATTTTATGCAGTTTTTAGGGGGAAAATCGCTCTCTTTTCCAAGTAGTCGTAATGACAAATATGTCCTTTTCCTTGCTCTCTGTTTTACTGTTATGTTTTTGGGTAGGTTCTATCTGTTAGGTACTAATATGAACAAAACAGTCATATCTTTGCATATAATTGGATGATTTTTTTAGTTTTAACTTGGATTCCTCTCTGTCTTCTTCTCTTAGTAAAACGGGCTAAGGCCCTTATTCTTTAAAAAAAAGGTAAATAAATATAAGGTTTTAACTAGGATGATCTATATGATAAATTTGTCATGGAGTTTGCTAATTAACATGTAGGTTTAATTTATTGTTATTCATACTTTAAACTAATGAAAGTAACTCATCATAAGTGTGTTGCCCGATTATTCGGTTCACCACCTTATGGTATCCAGTGATAAAACAGGTGATTGCTGATTTGCTGAAGCCTATCATAGAATCCAAACTGCATTATTTTTTTATTATTTTTAATTCAGGACTCCGGTGTCAAAATGTTACTTTTGATCACATTGTGACCCCAAAATATGCGTTAGACTTAGACACAAGTGCACTGGTGATCTACTGAACATAAAAAAAGGTTTCTGATATTTGGCTTTAACAATCTGGTCATAAAATAAAATTTTGTTTTTCCAGCTATCCTGACTTAGATTGCTAATCATGCATTTGAACTGTACTAATAGCTTTCATTACTCGGAACAGGCGGCACTTGATGTGTTCACAGTAGAGCCCCCACCAAAAGAGAGCAAGCTGGTGCAGCATGAGAACGTTATCGTCACTCCTCACCTTGGAGCTAGCACTGTGGAAGCTCAGGTTTGTATTCTCCTCACAACGTGTCCATGTTCTTCTCAATAATTTCTATACTTCTCATTAATATCCATGTCAACACAACCCCTTTCTATAACTATAACATTCAGGAAGGAGTAGCCATTGAAATAGCAGAGGCTGTAGTTGGGGCTTTGCAGGGTGAACTTTCTGCAACTGCAGTAAACGCTCCTATGGTTTCAGCTGAGGTAACCACCACTATGAAATTCCCTTACCAATCACATTTTTGAGTTCTTTATTTGCTGCCCGCTACACTTTTTTGTTACAGGATACTTAGTTTTTTCAGTTTTAAGGTCTTGCAAAAGCATACTTGCGTGTCAAATTTTATGCTCAGTTTCTTCTATCTCTTCCTCCTTGTGTATATTCCACACCGATTATATGAACATCTTGTCCTGCTTAGTTTTAAGAGATGGTTATCTGCACTTATATATCGCAAAGATTAGCTCATTAATTTGATACCCCAAAGTTAAAAAAAAGGAAAAAAAAATCTAACTTTAATACCAAAACTTAATTTTTTTGTTAAAATTTTGTTAAAGTTTGTGGCAATAAAGTTAAATTTATTGAACTTTCGGGTGCTTTTTGAGCAAAAGAAAACTTTGGGGGCATCAAAGTTAAAATGAGGTAAACATTGGGGTATATTTTGGGCAAAAGGATACTTTTGGGTATCAAAGTAAAAAATAGAGTAGACTTTGGGGTATTTTAAGTGCCGGTATTGACACTCATTGCTAAATTGATCCTAGATTCTGAACCGTTCATGATCCTTTCAGGCTCTTTCCGAGCTAGCCCCTTATGTTGTCCTTGCGGAAAAGCTCGGCAGGCTAGCAGTACAGCTAGTAGCTGGCGGCAGCGGCATAAAGGGAGTCAAGGTAGTCTACACCTCCGCCCGAGACCCAGATGACCTCGACACAAGAATCCTCCGAGCCATGATCACCAAGGGCATCATTGAGCCCATCTCCAGCGTTTTCATCAACCTCGTCAATGCCGACTACACCGCCAAACAACGAGGCCTCCGCATCAGCGAGGAGCGCGTCTCCCATGATGGCTCCCCTGAGATCCCCCTCGACACCATCCAGGTAGGATTGGAAATGGGTCAAATCGAATACCAGTGTTCGTAATTTTTTAGAACTTTCGACATTAAATATCACTCTCTGAATTTCCTCGAATTCTAATGCTACTTTTCAAATATTCGCGAATATTTACAGAAAATTTGAGTCAACTAATAATTTATAGCTTATGAATATTAAAGTATTTAATTAAAAAAACACTTGTATTTAGTTATAGAAATTTGGTTTAAAAACTAAGATGGGGTCAGTTAAGTTTGTCAAAATGAGTATAGAACTTAAATTACAAATTTAAATACGTCAAAAACTTAACATATGCATGTAATAATACAAATTGTAAGGGGTGAAACTAAACGAATCGGATATACATCTAGTTAAATTCTGTTCGCTCGTGAATCAAATACTAAAAACCATTTGTTAATTATTTGGTTCGTTTCCACATTACAGGTCCATCTCTCCAACGTCGACTCCAAGTTCGCCAGTGCCATCTCGGACGGCGGCGACATCGTCGTCGAGGGCAGAGTCAAGGATGGCGTCCCCCATCTCACCCTCGTCGGCTCCTTCAGCGTCGACGTCAGTCTCGAGGGCAACTTGATTTTGTGTCATCAGGTTGATCAGCCTGGAATGATTGGGAGAGTTGGTAACATTCTAGGGGAGGCCAATGTGAACGTCAGTTTTATGAGTGTTTGCAGGACTCTGCCGACGAAGCAGGCGATTATGGCTATCGGCGTCGATGAGAAGCCTAGCAAGGAAACACTGAAGAAGATCGGCGAGGTTCCTGCTATCGAGGAGTTTGTCTTCCTCGAGCTATAGAAGAAGAAAGTGTGGATGTGTACAATTCTTTGAGGAGCCCATTTTGGTTGAACCAGGTGAGCTTTTTAGTGATTGTTTTCTGCCTGTCAAGAGAGCAGGATGGATGGAAAACTGTTGCTGCTTTTCTTTTGCTGATGGCTTTGGTTTGAAAGCGAGCAATGCTGCGTTATCGTCGTCTTGTTTTTTGTGTTGGTTTTTTAGGTGGGCTGTTGTAATATGTTCGTCGTTGTAACATTAAGTTCCTCTTCAGTGGTTCTCTCGACCGTTCGTCAATCGTTAAAAATTTTTAGCGCTAAATGTCTGGTGATTGATATTGTTGGTTTCAACTTATTCTGGAAAATTTATTGTCGCCTGTATTTGTGAATTTATCCTACTTTGGATTGTACGGCCGCAGTTGCTCAATTTGTTAGCGCTAAATGTTCGTATATAACTTAATTCAGTCTATCCGCTATGCTGATCGCTCAACTAGCAAGTCGATGTCAGCCGAAAATGCTCGGTCCTGATCGTTACTCGTAATCTAGGACCTGCAAAGCTTTGCATAGGAAAGTAAATAAAAGCAAAACAAGAAAAACCGATAACCTTTTAACTGCATATCTCATAATATTAGGGAATGTTTTCTTGTAATATCGAGTTATATCTCGATAGTTTGTGATAGAATATAATATTTCACGTTATTGACGAAGAAGATCATATAAGTTATTAAATTAAAAAAAAAAAACACCCTCACGTTCATTTCAAGTTTGTCACGAACATGTTTATAAAATAACGATGTAATTACTCTTCTGCGGATTAGGGAGGTTTTGGTGAAATTTAATAAACGGAGGCTTTTTGCGAAAAGTAATTAATAGATGGAGGTGTTTCTTGCAATTTTAATTTCTTTCCTTACCGGGCCCCGCACAAACCACCGGCGAAACCAGCCCCGCGTGAAAAATAAGCTAAAACGCTTTATCGTGCAACAAAATTCTCTCTCCCTTGCCACGACCAAATAAAAATCCCCCAGCGATCTCAAGCTCTTTAAGATCTGCTCTTCTCTCTCATAGAGAAAACTAGGGTTTCTGCGGATCCAGATCCGGATCCGTTATCGGCTAAAGATCCGATCGAGAAGCTCTTATCGGATCAGATCTAATGGGGATCCTCTTCACGCGGATGCTCTCTTCTATCTTCGGCAATAAGGAGGCTCGGATCCTCGTTCTCGGCCTCGATAATGCCGGAAAAACCACGATCCTCTGTACTCTCCCTCTTCCAATTTCTTTCTCATCAATTTATTTTAATTTTAATTTTTTTTTATTTTTGAGGGATTAATTTGTGTTTTGGTTTTGATTAACAGATAGGCTTCAGATGGGGGAAGTGGTGTCGACGATTCCAAGTAGCTCAATTTCTGCTCTTATTTCTCTCTCTCTCTCTCTCTCTCTCTCTCTCTCTCTCACACACACACACACACACACATTTGATACGAGTAGGCTTGAATAATTAATTTGTTTTTTTTTGTTGTAATTTTCAGCGATTGGGTTCAATGTGGAAACTGTGCAGTACAACAACATTAAGTTCCAAGTTTGGGATCTTGGTATGTTGAAACCCTTTCATTTGTTCTATTAATTTGTTTAATTTTCTCAGTTTAGCATTTGTTTAATTAGTGCTACTAAAACCTAGGGCTTTGAACAGTAACTATGATGGTAAGATTGTTGAATGGAAAATTATTATTATTATTATTATTATTTGTTCTAAAAAGAATGCAATAGTCTTCGTACTAAGTCTAGTAATGTCATGCTAATTTCGTGTCTACAACTTTTGTAGCTATTAGGCAAATGCCACTTTCATCCAAAAGCTTAGATTTCTTGATGGTAGACTAACGATGTATGCCAAAATAATAGTTTTTCTTTTCAGATTTATTTTGTTTCCTTTCAAGTTTGCCACTTCGAAGCCATCTTTTCTCCAAACTTGATCTGTTTTTATACCATTCTCGTGTCAGCATAAAGAAACACTAACAAGGCTTAGAAATAATAGTTTATAGAGCTGTATGAAGGCAGGTGGCTTTTGGTTTATTGTTTGATAGTTTCGTAAATATATATAGCCCCAGGAGCGCCTTGTTGGTGTTTCAGCTCTTCGTAGTGCCAAAGTGGCTCCCAGTTTCTGCTTGTAGTTCATTTGATTGCTGAGTGTTTCAGCTCTTCGTAGTGCCTAAGTGCCTCCCAGTTTCTGCTTGTAGTTCATTTGATTGCTGAGTGGTCTGAGTGCCAACAAAATTAGGGTCATCTATTTGTTTCAGCCAACCTATGCCATAGAATCATGCAAGAGTAATAGTTGGGTACTATCAACAGACAAGAAAGGTTGCAACCATTTCTCCTAAAGAAGTTCTAGCATCTAAAACTGGTGTTCAATAAGAAACTACTCTTCCTCTCCTGGTACATGTTTTTACTTCATAGAGATTTATGATAGAGCTTTGCATGCCGAGTCTTTAACTTTTTTTCATAAGTTTTGTTCTTTGGCCTACAAGTTTCATCATGCTTGATACCAATTTCCAAGCATTTGCCATTAGAAATCTTCTACCTAACAAACATACTATAGGAGCTGTTATTTATGAGCATTAGATCTGCAGAACAATGTCTTTTCTCCTTAAGTGGCACGGTAACCAGATTATTAAGACTGTTAAAGTATGCCACACCTCCTTCTGCAATGTTCTTGCATAAACAACAAAGAGGTGGGGCTGTGATATATTATTTTTTTGGGCAGGGGAGTTAAAACTTTTATCGCCCGTCTTAGAACTCTGTATTTTTGAATTATGATTAACAAAAAGTTAAATTTCACAAAACTTCTTTGTACTTTGAGGGGTTTCACATGAAACCCCGTGAACTTTTCTCCCACCAAACCCCTAAACTTTGGGGGTGACAACAATCACCCATAAACATTCAAAATTTCCAAAGAAGCCCCCTAACAGTGTTGATGGTCGTTATCAATTATTTTTTGTATGTAGCTTGTTCATCCATTATCGTTGCTAGGTTGTTCCCGAGAAAAGTTTGAAAGTTTAGAGGGGCTTTTGTGAGACAACCCTACGTTCAAGGGGTTTAGTGAGAAAAAAGGCCAGGGTAATTTCATGGGGAACCGCCCAAGGTTATTGGGGGTTTGTGAAATTTACTGTTAACAAAACCAGTAAGCATTATTAAAAAATTGAGGAACTCTTCTATTTGCTATTCAAAAAAATTCAGCAACTGTGACCAAGGGTGTAATCTGTTGCAATTTCTTGCATTAGAGCAATCATTAATACGTAAAATGCTTGTCAAACGGGATATATCACAATTGAAATCCATTCATTTTTCTTCCTTTTCTTTCCCCAATCTTATGACTCCTTTAGCTATTGTTCCCAATCTTATTATTTTTTGTCGAATCAAAATGTTTTATGAATTTTAGTACTCTAGTTATAATGACTGAACATAGGTGCGTTAAATGTTGATAAATTAACCACCAGCATAATGATATAGTTACTTATCAAACTAACTACTTCAATGCTGAACATTACTGAAGTTTGAGCATATACCTCATTGGTCCTATCCCTTCTTTTAATATAAATGTTCCTACTAGTTCTAGTTGCATCTGGTACACCGATGTCAAAAGAAGTTTTTTTAACATTAAAAGAAGTTTTTTTAACATCAAAAGAAGTTAACACGTGTCTTGTTTGCGCATATCAAGTCTATTGGAATTTTCACTAGCTCTATAGAAATGGTGCTCTAATGGATTTTAAATAAAGACTAGTGTAACTAGAGTTCTACTTGCTTTCTCAAATTCTGTATATGTTAATGGATACTACTTCTTGATTATGTTTTGACATGGTCGCTATGTTTTTGTGGAACAGGTGGGCAGACGAGCATCAGGTGTTTCATTATGCTCCTCTTTAACAAATACGCTCACTTACCCAGTGACAGCTTTCTAGATTGTTTTTATTTTCTTCAGTTATTATCAATTTATCTCTGTATGTTTTATTCTTTAATACACACTCTGTACATGTGAATGTCCTCTAGAAGTTCATATTCATATAGGCATATACCTTTTGGTTATTTGTTTTGCCATCATGTACACGATTTAAGTGAGTTTTTTGTTGCGAGATTGTAGTTCATAGCTAAAACTTGTCTTTAAACCTGAAAACATTAAAGTAAAATATCGTATTTTGTTTTTACCTTAACTGACGGCTGCACAAAATCCTACTTTCCATGCTTCATATACCTCTCATAGCCCTTTCACTGAATACTGAACGGTTTGCTAAACTAAAGATTAGATAAAGTTTTTGTTCTGGCAGAAGCATCTTTAGCATCATCTCATGTCAAACAGCAGAGTACAATAAAAAAAATGATTTAATATTCTGGTCATTGTTACATGTGGAGAAATGACTGTAGATCCCATGAACTCATTGCTCACTAGTCCCTACACCCACACACACAATTTAAAGAGAGAATCATCAAAATAAGTGAAATTCACATATGTCCATCTATTATTTCTAACAGTTGTACCATGGGTCTCCAAAATACTTACTCAGAAACTGGGTAACGAGGAAAATGATATAAATTAGGAATCTTTACTTTGGTCAAATTAGGAGAGACTTCTAGCTAAGAGTTTTTTTCAACTGAAATTTGGAGATGGTAAGGGGAAAAGAAAAGACAGCAACGAATATTTAAAAGCATCCACTTCGTGATTTAAGGAATCGCATACAGGTTCGAAATCTCAGGAAATGTATTGGTCTATGTAGTGGTTTGTGGTATCAACTTTGGGATTTGGGAATTTGGGTACCATTTCCTGATTGAAATTCAGGAGAACCAATGAGATATTTCACTCTTACCTTTTGTTTGTAGCTAGGAAGCAAGAGAGAACTGTCCTGTTGGATTTATTGACTTATTCCCTGCAAAACAATGACTATGTCTCCTTCTCTTAATTTCTGACTTTATGGTCCTTATTGTTTCAGTTGTATATTTCAGAGGTTATTCACTCCAATTAAAATCCATTCGCATAATGTTTTCTGATCTGCTATCCAATGCAAGCATGGTTACCTACCAACTCACTCTGCAATCCTGTGAGCTATAAGAATGGTATGACTAGGATGAACAGCTAAGAAGTCATTTATCTTCCAATGAGACTCTTCACTGTGCTCTTAAGCACTTCATTTTTTACAAAATGTCATTCTCCATCTATCTTTCCTGATCTAGGATACCATGCTTGCTGTATATTGTAAAGCTTGGCAATGAAATGCTTACTTCTCTTCAGTGATTTGTTTATATAAGAATCAAATAGACTCTCTGGGCGATGATTTCAGTACAAAGGGAAAGGAAAACAAATGGGTTGGAAGGCATTGAGAGATATCAATTTGCCTAAATTTTTGTTCCTGTCTAGATTGAGCAGGAAAACAATTTAGTGCAGATGTCGAAAAAAAGACCACCCGGTGGCAACCCTTACAATTGGATTATGAATTCCAATCTTGATTCGCACCTTCCACGTTTAAGAAACATGACATCTTGTCTCTATGAAGACAGTTCAGATTAACATACACATCTACATAATTTGACCTGTATATGCGAAGTTTAAAGTATACCATGTTTCCCTGATCTTTCTGCTTATGTTACACGTATCTGAGTGATGGATAAACAAGCATGTCGGGTTCTGTGTATTAAGCATAGTTGTTTCTGTGTATGTGAACTTTTAGTTGAATTGAAGTATATCCATGAAGATGTTGTTACTGGCTTAACAAGAATATTTTATTTTACTCTTGCAGGCCATACTGGAGATGTTATTTTCCAAACACTCAAGCTATTATATATGTTGTTGACTCGAGTGACACTGATAGGTTGGTAACTGCCAAGGAAGAATTTCATGCTATCTTGGAGGTAACCCACGTTCTGAAATATACTTCTTATGTACAATCAGTGATTTCGGTTTTATTCCATGGGTCAGGACTAGGGAATAATAGCACATTAGAGGAGGTGTCAGTGGGGACATCAATTTTAGCTAACAGTGCAGGATGATTGAGAGTCTGTGGACTTTGTTTTTGAAGAATCTTGTACATGCTTTCTGCAGAACCTTTAGATGTTATACTTACCAGGCCATATTTAAATGCCAACACTGAACTTTTAATTGTAATGCTAGTTGTAAGATTGGCATTAGGCTTTGGTTCAGATGAATAGATGGCAAATGACATCTTGACAGGAGCTAACCATATGTGTCGGTTTAGCCTGGATACGAGCTCGGGAACGTGGGTGTGCTGCACTTGATTTTCTACATACTTTCTTGAGAATCGTTAAATGTTGTACCTATCAGGTCATATCTACATGCCAACTCTGAACTTTTACTTAGAAATGATAGTTGAAGCTAAGATTAGTCTGAGGCTTTGGTTCAAATGAATTGATGGGGAATAATATCATTGTTGGAGTTAACACTATGCCGGTTTCGCTCAGAAGGGCTAGGAAATAGGGCATGGTGGGAGATTTTCTAGTATGGACATAGTAGCTCAAGTAAAATTTCTATTTATATTTTATAGCATTGAGTTATACTAAATCTGACCTGATTCTTTGTTTCTTTGAACTTGATCGTCTTAATATTTGCTGCAGTCTTTCTCCAGCACTCATATTTCTATATAAATTGCATGACATGATTTTTTCCTTACTGCTCCACTGAATATAATATCAGTGCCTTTAATTAGATATATTACTCACCTAAAACTATCTGAATCCATTAATGAACAGTTCTCTTACTCGCTGTTATACCTATCTGATGAATATTTCATTTTTAACATATTTTCTAAATCCCCCCCCCCCCCCCCCTCCTNCGACCCCAAAAAAATAAAAACTCTTTTTTCGCTTAGCTGTGGATGATTATTTTTTAATTGCAGTAGGACCTTTAACCCTTTTTTTATATTCCTGCTCATGTTGATATTTAGTTGGCCCCTCGACTTGAAGCGTTATTATAAATGCAAGTAGATATCAAATTCGAGTTGCAAAGATCAGAATTTTAGTATTTTCTTAAGTTTCATAGTAGGTTAAGAGCTTTACCTACTTCTTTCTGGTATTGGTTTGTTCATCAACCTATGTTTAGTTTGATTTGATCTTAGTACCTTTTTTGCCCCCAACTATTAGTCCAGTACCTCTTTTGTCCTCAACTGGTCTCTTATTTTCTTTTTGGCTGAAATATTGTGTGCATTTCTAGTCTGATTGCTAATTAAAAATCTTAATTATGCTTTTGGATTAAATTTCATCCCCATCCTCATTCTTCTCAAGCAATTTAAGTGTGACAAATCGTGGAAGTTGCCAATTTTTGTATCCATTTGTTTTTAATTGTCATTATAGTTCTTATATTCTCTAACATGGTAGGCTCTGATGCCATCTAGAACTAGTTTTATTGACTATTGTTTTCTTTTATTTCTCAGGGCATTCATTTGCTAATAAACTTTTAGTTAGTGCATTCCTGAAAAATTCAAGTGGAAATATAGCTGCAACTTATGTCCTAATTTCTAAGCACATCTAAAAGACAAGTGAGACTGTGAGACTGTAGCCTTATGTGTCGTCATCATTGTTGTTGTATGTAGAGTAATTTGTGTGGTGAAAGATATGTGATCCAACAGCAGACTGTAAAAAAAAATTAAGACTACCTACTAGGGGTGCTAAACTGTATCCGTATCCGACAAAATATCCGTAACCGTATCCGTTAGGATGCGGATGTGGTTACTCAAATCTATAACCGATAAGATATGGTTACGGATATGGTTTTGTACTGAAATATACGTATCCGTATCCGAAATATCCGAATACATATTGATCATACTCTTACGATAGTTTCGATTTTTAGATTATGGATTTGTGGTTAATTTTGATGATCAAGATGTCTAATCTTAACTTTTCAGTTATAATGAACATATTAACCAACTCTTTTGTATCACATGAACTACGTTTTTCTCAATACCATCTAGTTTTCTTATATCCGTTTTGTATCCGTATGCATATCCTCATGTATATCCGTAACCGTATCCGATTTTTAGCGGATATGGTTATGAATTTTCCTTACCGAGTTACATCTGTATCCGTATCCAAGATGGGTAAGCGGATATGGATATGGTAAGCATCATATCCGAGCCATATCCGGACCGAATGCACCCTTACTAGTTACTACCTACACATGAGCCCCATTTGATGCATAATGCATATTAATATGAAATAAAACCTGAGATTCTTAAGTTATATGTGATATGCTATATTTACGAATACATTTTCTTTTCTTTATTAATAATGAAATTATATAAAAGCTTATTTCTGATTTATACTATTCATGTATGATGTCCTTGAACCAAAAACAAGCAACTAATTCCTTATTCTTTTTCGATCAGGAGGAAGAACTAAAAGGTGCAGTTGTCCTCATTTATGCAAACAAGCAGGTGAGGATAGTTTTTAGTCACTAAATCATCCCTGACATCTCTGGTTTTAATTTGTTGAAGTCAGGGACCATCTTCTTCATATATGAGAATCAACACAAAATGCAATTTCTTTTATATTAATCAGACAGAATTATAGTTGTACATGTTTTATATATTTCATCTTTTTACAATATCATTGCAGGATCTCCCAGGTGCACTTGATGATGCTGCAATAACTGAGTCTCTAGAACTTCATAAGATTAAAAGCCGTCAATGGGCCATCTTTAAAACTTCAGCTATTAAAGGAGAAGGGATATTTGAGGGCTTGGACTGGTAAGCTGGATTTTGTTTTCAAATGCTGATTTTAGTTAATAAAGACGACACTGCACAGTTTTGATCTCAACATTCATTTTGTTGATTCATGCACATCAACCGCCACTTTTTTCTATGAAGATGCTCAGAAATCAGGAGATCTCTTCTCATAATTACTTCTGGAATATTTCAATTTAACTACTTTTGAGTTATCTTTTATAAAGAGTTGATTTTATAACCATATCACTGTGAAGGCCAAAACCTAGAACTATTAGCTTTCGCCTTAAGTCCGTCTTGACATCCAATTGTGGAAGCTCTAATACTCTGCTATTTGACGTCGGTGTTCTCTCAATAGACTAGACTTTAAAGAAGAATGTAATGCAATTTTATATTGATGTAAAATATCCTTTAAAAGAATAGTTCCCATATAACACTGCCCGTGCTCAAATTTGGATCTTAAGATATGATAAATCAAAAGAAGCCAACATGTCCTAATAATCTTAGCTAAGGCTAGTCATAGATATTGTGAAAGCTTGTCATTTAGAAGTGGCTGCACTACCATTCCAAACTTACTCTCTTATGTATGTTAGTTCCAGCTGGAATGACCTCAAATACGTACTCTTTGCATTACCTCAACAAGACTCCCATTGTGGACAGCTCTGTAACCCATACTTCCTGGTATAAAACTGCAGCTAAGTAAGCATGGCACACATCATGCTGCGTCAGTCCTTATGTGAAATGTAGCTTTTCCTGGCTATAGTACATCTCTACCATTTTATAATAAAAACCAAACCTGGAGTAGCTATGATGACTAGCATTATTGCACCTGCAAATGCAGGTGCAGCCGACATTGGAACTTATTTGTTATAAGTTTTGTATAAACAGGATCAATTAATACCCTAAAGCATCGTAGATATTTCAAAGATTTTTTATGATATTTGTTCGTTTACTTTGCGATTTTTTATCTTACGTTATTTGAAATTGGTTCTGGCATAAATTTCAATTTGAGTAACGAGTAAATTTCCTGGATGTCATTAAGAAGAATCTTTTTTGTATTTCATCTTCAGATTATTTTATTTAATTATTTTTAAACTAAGTATTTAGATATACTTGATATGCTTTAGAAAGTTCTAGAAATAAAGAAAGACAAGAAAAGAAAAAGAGAAAATTTGTCTGAAATGATGAAATTGTCCTCGTACCTTCACTGAGATGGACAATTTCCTTCTTCTCCAAACTTTTTCTTCCCTCACTTAAAGTTTTTAATATAGTAGCATAGATATGCAATCATTCATGATTTGTGTACTTTTTTCCATCGTCTGACAAGTTGGTAACACAGAGTTGATTTGGAGGACCATTTGTGACACGGATATTTATGAGCAATTCAATAATCTAGTGTAGGATATTATAGTCGTGACCGGTATTGAGCTTGTTAAAGTAGGGATGGGGCAATTAGAGTAGCTTGAGCGACAGATGAACATTGAATATTGACTATTACAAAGCAGCATTGTCATGTATATCATTTTCATGTCAAATGCTGACAATTCTGGAGAAAAGAGAACAGTATGCTTGCCTGTCAATTATTTGAAAAATTAAATACCTGGCCGTCAAATCTGACATTATGCTTTTTAAGTTGGCCAAATTCTTAAATTCTTATGGAGAATAGGAAACTATGAAGAGGAAAAAGGGGTTTGTCGTACAATCTTGTGGACCATTTGGAGGACTTCATGTAAAAGTGAGGACTCACAAAACATTTTAACCTTCTATTAAGGCTCTTAAATTGATTTAGGTCATATTTAACAGTATGATTCGACCGCAATCATTGGCATATCCAGTTGTTCCTGCCCTGTCATGAACACTGAAGGAAAGGAAGAAGATGAGGGGGCGTAGGTTGGGAGGGTTATTAAAAGCCCCATTGGAAGGGTATTTTCGTTCATAACTTAGCATATGATTTTGATATATGATTACATTCCAAGCAGACAGTAATGGAGGATAGTTCACTGAAATCAGAAAAGTTTATATTTATTTTCCATTATTTAGGAAGTTGCTGCTAATTTAATGGAAATTGATGAAAGTTCATGGTAAGTTTGTGTTACTTGGCCTTAATCATCATACATTTTTTCAGTGTTTCTTGGGTGTTCATTTTTTTTAAGATTTATTAATTATTAGATGGAGAATAGCTTCCTGTGTTCATTTTTTTTAAGATTTATTTATTATTAGATGGAAAATAGTTTCCTCTGTCATCGCTTGATTTTTTGAAAAGATATAATTGGTCTCAAGATTAGAATTTGTTAGTGTTCATTAAACATTCTGAATGTAATTATTGCAATTACTGGCGGATGTATTGTGTAATTCAAAATCGATGGTTGATTCTGTTTTTCACTTTTTGTCGCTTCAATTTTGTCTGGTTGCATAGAGAATAGTCCAAGCTATTGACGTTTTTGGTAATTCCCATTTGCATCTGAGGAAGTGGTGCAATCGTAAAATATGGCTTTTGATTTTGCTTTCTCTTGTATTCCAATTAAAAAAAATGCTCTTTCGTTGTGCTGTAGGCCACATAATTATGTCTACTTCAACCTTTCCTTTCGTTGGCTCAAGTGTTTAGCCAAACCCAAACCCAAAGTGGCCTCCTATTTTGATTTTATTGGCACAATTGCAACGCTTTTATCTAATAATAAACCACATGGCGTTTGGAAAATACATTTATATTAAGTTTTAGAACATGCAAGAATTTATCTTATTATTTGCAGGCTTAGCAATACACTGAGATCTGGAAGTGGCTAATTCTTGAAGAACGCAGATATGGTGAATTTTTCAGACTGGGAAAATGATGTAACAGGATGAGTTAATTTAGATGCTGCTTTATCTTTTTTTTCTCTTCCCTATGCTATTTTTTTAAATGTTTTCATGTTTACATGTAAAAATGCTCTCTAATATCAGAATATATACATTTCTTCACGTGTTTCCATCTGCTGCTTCCCAACAATATGCACCGCGTTCAGTGAAGAACTGGACGAAGTGCATTAATAGGGCGCAGGAGGAATTCTGAAATTGTTTCCTCAACTGATCTGATGATATTTGCTTGTTGGCATCTTTATTTAGCGATGAAACAAGTGTTGCATTGTTCCTAATAATACGTTTTGTATTGGCTTGCTTGAGATACTAAAAGTTAAACGCACATGGGCTACCGATTCCAGCCTATCTACGATCTTCATTCTTTTCAGGTAATTAATTCTTCATGAGCCCTGATGTATGATACATGCGTGTGTGAGGTGATCTCCAAAGATTCAGGAGATTCTACCGGGCGTAAAAGAATCACTATTCTCTTGATTTTCTCTTGAAGTTCCTTCTTTTTTTATTAAAGCATCTTTTACTTTTAAAAGGCAGGCATCGTTTAGGGCCCGTTTGGTTGTATGTTTTTACCATGTAAAAGGATGGAAAGTGTAAAAAAATGGGTCCCAATGTCAGCTTTTAAAAGGATGGAAAGTGTAAAAAAATGGGTCCCAATGTCAGCTTTCATCACTTTCAATTGTTTGTTTGTAGTTGTGAAAATAGTGTAAAGTGATTTCATATGCTGATGTGGCTTGTAAAGTGATTTCACAAAAAAAGACATGATTTTAGGAGAAAGCTGACATTGAAGTCTGGAAAAAGTAATTCCAACCAATATGATCATTTGAGTAGGGATCACTTTTTACACTTTTCAAACAAACAATTAAAGTTTTATTTTGCAAACCAAACAATTGTTTTATGATTCTATTTCAATCAAAAACAAACAAAGAAAAGTATAAAAGTAAAATTGATGAGATGGACAACAATTTTCCAAGTTGTGTCATAAATACTCAACTTTACCAACAACAACCAAACAGCCCCTTATATATTCAATTGAAAATGTGCACATGGGCTATCAATTCCTACCTACTAGCGATATTGATTCTTCAGTAATCAAATCTCCGCCAGCCTGATATTTTAGATACGTAGCGTGGGTGAGGCTTAAAGGGACAGTAGATGATTTATAAGAATCAGAATCAGGGTTAATTGCTGATAGATCCCCTCTTCTGCTGGAGTTTCGCCTCTTGTTGCTTCAAACAAAAAAACAAAAAAAATATAAAAAAATTCTGATCCTTTTAGAACCCGAACAGCAAAAAAACAAAAAAATACAAAACATTAACCCAAAAAAAAAGACATGACCTAAAAACGCGTACAATGTCTACCTAACAAACCTCAAAAGGGCAAAAGAGAGAGAACCCGAACAGCAAAAAGAGGAAGAAACTACGAGGAAGTGCCCGGAGTAGTGCCTTAGATTTTCCAACAGATTATAAACATTTGTTAGTTTTCCCAACAGATTCTTAAACAAAGCGATATACAATGATAATCTGGCCCACTAATTGAAATGCAAAACAAATATACATAATTTTTTTAAAAATAAACATTAGGATAAAACAAAGCGATATACAATGATAATCTGGCCCACTAATTGAAATGCAAAACAAATATACATAATTTTTTTAAAAATAAACATTAGGATACCTTAGATTTTCCAACAGATTATAAACATTTGTTAGTTTTCCCAACAGATTCTTAAACAAAGCGATATACAATGATAATCTGGCCCACTAATTGAAATGCAAAACAAATATACATAATTTTTTTAAAAATAAACATTAGGATA